GAGAGAAGTCAAAACACATGAGCAATATAAACTGACTAGCTAAATAAACCGGATAAAATTGTGATAGAAAAAAGTGGAGAAAGACAAATGAGCAAACCAATAAATCAACTAGCTAAATAAATACTTAACAACAAATAACAGTTATCAAAGAAAACGTTTAGGCAAGGAACACAGGTAGGGAGGCTAGCAATAAAAACCAACAAATTCACACAAATACTCCCAAATATGTATGCTTTGCTCAAAAGTAGTGACAGAGAAAGTAAAAGAACATAGTTTATTTAAATCCGTGCATTTTGTGAGACTAGTGAGAAAAAAAAAACTCATAAAAGCAAAACACTGAACTTACTCATTGTACCCACACACAAAAAAAAAAGGTGTTATTTACAGCTAACATTAGCTTCAGTCTTCCCTTCAAGGCCTTAGCTACAAAATTAGGGCAAAAGAAAGAAAGAGAGAGCTTAAACCAAAAGAAGAAAAGGGAACTACTGTTAGTTAAACATTAGCTAAATAATTAGCGACAGTGGTTAGTTTTTAGCTTTAGCCAAGTCAAAAAAGAAGAATCATGACATAGTGAACTATTGATTAACGGTTTCTGCTATTTCCTTGACCATCAAATCAAAGAAGAATTCATACTCAAGTGAAGAAGAAGCCCCTACAACCTTGAAGAATATAGTTCAAGAATCTAAGATTTGAGAGCAAGAGAAAAACAGAGAAGTGAAGAACTCTGTAACCATATCTTCAATGATTTTACCAACTACCAAACCATGCAACCACAAAAGATCCAAACCCCAGCTTCCCCACTCCGTCATGTCCAGCCAAAGAAAATCAAACCCTCAACTTCCCACCAAAATAAAATCCAATCTTACAATCCCACTCACATACATAGAGCAAAGGACCATGAACTCAAACCTCTCTTGATCTGGGTTTGGATTGAGATTTTGGTTTTAAAATTCTTGATCTGGGTTTTTTTTCTTGGTGTTGTGAGGCAATGGAGAAGAGAAGAGGAGAGAGAGAGATAGGGTGGGTACGATTAGAGGTGTCAAACGGACCGTGCCGGGCCGGCCCGTCCCATTTAAACTCGTGCTTTTAATATTTCGTGTCGTGCCGGGCCGACTCATTTAATTTATCGGGCCGTGCCGTACTGGCCCATTTAATAAAATCATTGATCCCGGCCCGGCCCAAAGCCCATGTCTATATTCAAACGAGCCGGGCTGGGCTCGTGCCGTGCCCGTGCTCGTGCTCGTGCCATACTCGGGCCCAAGAACCAACCCATTTAATTTGATTTTTTTTCACTTGATTTTTTTTTTCCACTAGATAATTCAAATTATAAACATTAAAACTATCATTTGAGGCAAGAAATTATGAACTATTTGAAAACATTAATCAATCAAACATCCAAACAATATGAAGGGGCGGAGGGCAAAAAGTGTCCAACTCCACAAAGTCCACTTGAACTTTTCATCTTTAAACAACTTATTATTTTATATGTGAAGAAATGTTTTGCTTTGATTATAGGAGAAACGTATATGTCATATGTATTGATTAGATATCAAGTCCAATGTTGTTTAATTAATTTGTAGTTGATATGTTTAATTAACTAAGGACCCAAGTAATTTCCCTAAAATGAAAGACATCAAATATATGTTTATGAATATATATTTTTTTTAAACATATAAACAATGACATTAGATGTCAAATTATTGCATTTTTACTTTTTGAGAAAAAAAAAATGCTAAATGGGCCGTGCTTGAAGCGGGCTCGGGCCAAGCCCGGCCCATATCGGGCCATGGGCCGGCCCAGTCCATTGGACCTATTTCTTGATTCCGGCCCGGTCCAAGTTTTTGTGCCGTGCCGAGCACGACCCATTAATATTTGTGCTCGTGCCGTGCCGTGCCTCATTTAAACGGGCTGGGCTCGTGCCGTGCTGGGCCGGCCCGGCCCGTCCCGTTTGACACCTCTAGGTACGATGATGGGTTTGTTTTGTTTTTAGTTTTAATTTTGTATATATATTTGGGTCATTATATAATTACAAATTTATAAATAAACCCAATCCTAGACATGTATTTATAAAAAAAAAAAACCCAAACACTGTTTAAACATAAAAACACCCAAAATCAACAATTATATATTTTTCGAGTGTGTTTATAAATAGGTTTTGAGTGTGTGTAATGATGGATTTTTGGTGTGTTTATAAAGTGTTTTGGGTGTTAAGTTTTTTTATAATTTCAGCCCCCATTTTGGGTGTTTTAGTGAAACTCCCTTATATAATAGGCCCTTGCAACTCTAGTCTATATAAAAATTCATCTACATATTTACTTCCAACCAAAACCCAATTTTGAAAACGGATGCCATGAAGGATAAAAGTTGCTCATTTCTTATTACTTATTTACAAAACCCTGCCATTTTTGTTATCCAGCGATTTTTCCTAAACAATCCCTAATATGAAGCCTTTCCATTATTATGGTGTTGCTGGACTCAACAAATCAAAACATTCTCATAATACATATAATATATGTTCGTTCATAAATAATGTATATATAGCTATACATATAAACCATAATTACATATAATGTAGGTATATTGGATGTCATATAATGTAGGTAATTTAAAATTAATGCATGTATATTGGATGTCGTATAATGTAGGTATATTGGATGTCGTATAATGTAGGTATATTAACAGGACCCGATCCAAATTCCACTTTGGAATCCAAGCCAAACCCTGTGTGTGTCCGACACTTAGCGGGTGCCGGCACAAATGACTAAATTGACCTTCTATTAAAATCCAAACTTTATTACGAGTTTGACCTACCGAAAATTCGGCATAGTCTTCCCCGGTAATTAGATCATTTCCCAAAATTTCCACATGTCAACAAGCATATATATAAAACCCAACTGCCAACATGCTTTCAATTTACAACCAAACAATTCAACTAAACTAAACAGCCTTGGGCCAACCAGAAACCTAGGGCAATATCAGAGCAACTAGTTTAGAATTTACAACAGAACAATATGATTTCAAAAGAAAATCCTACACGATCCTAGGAGTGTCTATATCAACATATATGAAATTGACTGCAATCCAACGGTTCAAACATATCGAACCCATAAATTGCACAATAGGCGAGATCCGTCCGGAGTTCAAACGTTATCCGAATTGGAATCCGAAAGTACCTACGCGCTCATGAGAACCAGGAGATCATTTTAGGATACAATGCCGGTCCATTGCCTGGCCCACGCGCCGGCAGCGCGTGGATACCTTCAGCAAAAATCCGGCGGCCCAAAAAACTCCAAACCACCTGCCAAGCTTCCTACCCTAGGAGTAAAACCTCATTTGGAGTCACTTTTGTTCTTGGACCTACCCCGAAAAATGGCCGGAAGTGGCCGGAATTTCATCCCGAAATCCGGCCAAACTTTGAATCCAAAATCGAACTATCAACGCTAGAAATTGATAAATCCTACCCAACCCTCAGCTAGAGCATGAAAAATACGTGGAAATCCATACCTCACTCGTCAAGATTGGTGGCCGGAGGACGGAGAACGAAAGCTTGAAATTTCTGTCAAAACCCGACACGTTTTCGCGGTGTTTTCCGTCTGGTTTGGCGGCGGGGAGAGGCTGCGATGAGGTGGTGGGGCGGGGCCGGTTTGATCTTGGCCGGTTTCGTGGGTTGGGATGGTCGGAGGTGGTGGTTATGGAGGTTGGGGGGTGGCTGGAAGAAAAAAATGAAGGGGGGCGAAAGGGTTCTGTCGTGGGGAGGGAGAGAGAGAGAGTTATAAATTAAAAGGCGCAATTATGTTTCCATGGCTTACATCCAAAATTTTCTTTAAGAGCTGAGTTAATTGTTGTGTGATTTCATCACTTGTTTAGTCCTCTTTGCTACAGACTTTTTGCAGCATGTAATTTCTGCTATTTATTTCTGACATTTTCCGAAATTGAAATAATGTTTGTGTGGTGAACATGGATGACAGTTTTGGTACTTGATTGATTTCTTCCAATATATTCTGAAATCAGCAGGAGTTGGAGACAAAATGAAAAAGGACATGTCATTTGCATGGTCTTTTTTTCCTTTTTTTATATGCGTTTTGAAACCTCGACACTTACGTACGTATTGTTCAAAACACAATTATTAATATATTTTATATGCAAAATAATAATAATAATAATGACAAAATGAAAAAATAAATAACTACAATAATATATATTGTATGCAAAGAATAATAATACTAATAAAAACTACAAGCTCACACCTACGTATTGTCTAGAGAGGGACGAAAATTGTAATGCTTATTTAAAAAAGTGAAACATGCATGTGGTATACAAGTTTTTTCTCAAATATTATAATTAAAATTTTGAAAAACAATGTAATGCATAGTTAAAATGAAGATCCATGATGGAATCATATAAATCAAAGTTAACTCTAAAACTTATATTAACAAAAAAATTACAAAACCAAATACAAGTATTATCAGAAGAATGTCCGAGTTTCCCGATAAATATGTTGAAAGAAGACTTGGATGAAATCTTGTAGCAAGTAACAAATCATATTGATCATCACATGAACCCCTTTTCAGTTTCAATTTCGTATCAATGTTCCCACAATTGTTAGTTATGTCAATTAATTATTGATTGTACGTGATGAAAATGAACGAAAAATTGTGACAGTATTGATTGTAAGGGGGACATTAGCATGCACTAAAACTTCAGAAAATTTTCAAAATCCCACATTTATAAGGCTTCGCTAAATTTTTCAACCAAAAAAAAAAAAA